GAAGTGAGTGATAAACATTGTGAAGGCTGCTGTAATGGCCACAAAAGTTTTGCACCTCATTGTTTGTAGATGTAACTAGAATACTATTGGCTTTAGCTTTGTGTTGAGGATTTGCTTTTATGTAACTGAGCATTTTTTTTGTCTGTCTGTTCTCCTCCTCCTCCTCCTCCCCTTGCAGTGCTTAATCTGCAGTCAGCATCTTTACTGAGGCCCAAAGAGCACTTTGATAACCTGAATGTATCCCTGTTTAAAGACCTGTGAGATTTCAGGGAGAGGAAGGGGAAACAGCAAATAATCTAAAAGCAGCCTGTAGAAAAAGCATGAAAACACATTCATGGTGTACAGAGATGTTAGCTGTTGCTAGAGGAACTGATGCAGTGATATTTCAGATGTCGGTGAAGTTCTCGGCAATATGGCTTTTCTGGTTTCCAGGACTGTACTTTCTATAGGTCCTTATTAAAGCTGCTGGAGTATAAGCCTTTTTCAGCGTTTATGATATAAAGCGTGCTTTTTAGGGGTTTATAACTCTGCTGTGAAAATTGGCTGTAGCTTGAAAATTGGAGTTCAAGTTCTCCTCTTAGGTGACAGCAATTGAAAAAGTTATTTTTGTTTTGCTTCCAGAACCTTATAAAAATTGTTTCAATGTGTTATGGTGGTAGGAGAAACAAAACTTACTACTTACTGATATAGCATCTTTCCTATCAAAATTCACCAAGATGAGGTAAAAATTACTTGGATAGTTAAAAAAAAATCATTAACCCTAAAAATAGAGTGGAACTAGTTTGTTGTTTAAAGAGAGTGGAGGTACCAGATGTAAAGAAAGCAGGGACGGTCCTACTCTTCCTGTAGGAAACTGCCGTAAGACCTTCCATGCTCATGTAGTTCAGAGGCTTTCAGGTTGTGAGAACAGTGTGCCACGTGAGCTCTCAGTGCTGTGCTGCCAGCGAGAAGGTGGTGGGAGGTGATTCAGGTCAAATGCGACTTTTCTTGGTGCGCAGCCTGAATCTAAGCTCTTCTCCTCTATTGCACGTTCCCGCTTGTCCCTTCTTTCTGATTCTCCTTGTGCTGCTTGCTGATAGGGAAAACAAGTAGACCAGCACACAAGCAATAGTTCTGTCCTTGCAGGGTTTCAGACTGGGGTAATTAGCCATGATGAACCCAGTGTTAGTACGCAGTTGGACTTGATGATCTTAAAGGTCTTTTCCAACCTAGCCGATTCTATGATTCTACACTGTCGCAATTTGCTACTTACTGACTAAAGAATATTTGCTTCCAAGTCATTCAAGTGCTTGTGGTTGTGTGAGCTTGCCAGAGAAGGGGGAGAGCATCTGCTGGGTTTTGCAGTTAGTCTCCATGTCCAGTAGAGGAATGATCTCCAGGGAGCTGCAATGGAGGAACAGTTGTGTTCCTGCTGGGCTCTTGACATCAATGGTCTCATGCACCAAGATGTGAAAGAGTGGTAGCATGCAGCTCAAATAAGGGTGTGGATGTTTCCTCACTTAAGGAAGGAATCTCTTTAAAATGAAGCTATATTCCACAGTGTGACTGTTTTGTTGGGGGGTATGGTTATTTGATGGGGGGTTTTTTGGTTTGTGGTTTTTTGGTGGTTTTGGTTTTTTTTTGTTTGGCGTTTTGGGGGGGAGTTGGGTTGGTTTTTGGGTTTGCTGTTTTTTGGGGTTTTTTTGAGGGTAACCAATTTGCCTGACTAGATTTCTGGATATGTCAGTGTTGTCCTACTGTAGACTTGGCAAGATACAGCTAAAAGCTAAAAGGAAAGGGAACATGTGGCTTGCAGAACTTCTAGGCCATGGATGGCCCAGGCACCAGAGGGCTTTCAGGGCTTGTAATAAAGGAAAGCAGACTTTCTGTTGGTAACCTGAACGAGTACGTCTGAAACAAACAGAATTGCATGATGCTATTTTTTTTTTTGCTGTTGCTGGTCAGAGTAGAACAGTACTTTAATTTCTGAGTCAATGAACTAAAGGAAAACAGCTGTGCTATGACCTCTGACATCAAGTAATGGTTTAGCCAGACATGAATGTTACTATGTGACCTTTCATGTGGCACCCTTTAAGTAAACTTTCTGTAATAAGAGACCTTGCTGTCTCTTACTTGAGCCTGTGGAAGACTGGAGATTGGATGGGGTGAAGGGGAATATGAAACTAGAGATCAGATTAAGTTCTAGTTCTAAGTAGATCTTATATATTTTTCCATCTGAAGACAATTAATGGACACACCTAGTGTCAGGCTGAAATAGCCTTCTAAATTAATCCATTCTTGTCCACCTACTGTTAGAATTTAACTCAGGTGTAACTCTAGCTAAAGCAAGAGATGAAACTTTGATTACTTTGATGTTTGGATTATACTGTTAGATTTAATTTAGAGCTGGCAGGGAAATAATTTTCCCTTTGTACAGAAATTCTGAAGCTTCATCTTTTTTCCATTCCTTACGGGGATGAAATCAAGGCCTTCTGACATTTGAAAAAGGAGGTAGCTAAGGTCTGTGGCTAGGATGCTTGCTTGGGACATTCGGGTTCAAAGTCATGCATTATCTTAGGAATATGCCGGACTTGTTTCTCTCTCTATGGCTAATGAAACACCATTAATTTAGTGGGAGGTTGACTCTGCAGTGTGGTAGCTGATAATACAAAACTGGAAGTGGCAGAGTGAGATTTAAAGCTTGGTTTGACATCAGGCTGAGTGAGGACTTGAAGTCTGGCCTCAGGTTAGAGCTTTTGTTTATTCCAATTGTGGAAGTCTGTCACTAAGACAAGAATTGTTGGTCATCCTTTTCTGAACAAATGAATAACGAAACTTTCAAACTTTTAACAGGTTTGTCACTTTCTTCTTCAGGGTTGAGGTAAAGAAGGGAAGGGGTGAAATGGCTCTCAAAGGAGTTTTTTGACCCACCTTAATAGTGCTGTTCCTAAAGTATTAATTGTAGTGAGTTGCTACTGATCTAATATTGCACAGTCGTGTTTCTGTTTTACCATATTAAAGGCCTGTTTCCCATTTCCCTGCTGACTTACACGATTAACTAAATTGATACAGGTTGAAAAAAGAGAATGATTAAATGGGCTGCCTAACTCCTATACTTCATTTCAACCTGGAGCTTTGCTGGCTACCCTGTCCTAAGGTATGCAGACAACTTAAAGGAAAGACTCATGATGACAATTCAGAGTCTCTGCCAGGGTCTTAAGTTCTTGGAGGTGAAAGGGAATGTAGAGGAAATATTTATATATAAGCAATGTGAAAGAAAAAATGCACAAATCATGAGCATCTCCTGGGTACAGATAAAGATACTTCATGCCTGGGCTGTGTTTGAACAGGATACATTGTTTTAAATTCATATTCCCATGGATAGATTTTTCACTGAAAGTGTAAAGAGAGTAAACACCATCCCAGCTCTGTGTGAAGGAGTAGCTGAAGTCAGAAGAATGGTATGTGAAGCTGTTTATCCTTTTTGTCAGCTTCCTATTCAGCTATATCTATTTTCAAATCATTGATCTTTTTTAAAATTTGCATTTTTTTCATGATTTTCCTCATCCCAAATAGTCAGCTCTGCAAAACCATCATAGAGTCTTGTCCTCTCTATCTCTGTGTGTGGTGCTTGCTTGTTTGTTTTAGTTTTTTTGCATTGAACTTAACGTACTTTGCAAGCTGTACATTCATACCAGGCAGTATGATGCTCCACAAGTATTTCAGTAGCTGTATTCAGATCCTGTATTGTAACAGAGTGTACTGCAGTTCAGCCCAGAAGATGTGGTGGGAACTGTAGTGCAGTGGTTGGACACACTGCATGCGTAGGAGAATTTCTGCATCACCAAGGCTCTAGGTCACGGTCGGCCCTAACTTCTATCACCAGCCTATTCCTACTCCTTGATTTCATTTTTCCTGCCCATCAGCTCAACAGAATTGAGCTGGAATCCAATAGTCAAGCTGCCTTTTTCTTTTTCTCCTGACATACACTGTTGTGAATAATGAGGTTTCTGCTGCCAGAACTCAATTTTTAATGATTTGCAAAGCAGGCAGAGTCAACTTTGTATTCCATTACTGTGTTAGCTCCACAGTGGTGACATCTTGTTTTCATTCATTGAGTTAGCAAGGCTAGTTGAAAACCATGTTAAGATTGTCCTGGTTTTATTCAACTGTTTCTTAAAGCATAACCAGATTTTTCAAGTTGCATTTTGGAGAGAGGGATTCTGAAGAGCAGTTATAACCAGGAAAAAAACACCTAGAAAAGATGTTAAAAACTGACTGAGATATACAGGATGTTGATTCATGCTTGATTTGAACACTTCACACTCAGTCTGTGATGTGCTATGAAAATAATTCCGATGTCATACTAAAAGATTACAACTTCACTGCAAAGGAAGCCTATTGGAGCAGGCTCTTGGGATTTCACATGAACTGGTGGTTAAAGCAGCAAAAGTCTGAGAATTTGATGCAGCTTTTATGTTAAGCCTAGCAATTATGTTGGTGTGAGAGACTCTTAATGAAGTTCAAGTGAGATGACAAATGTTTCTCCTATGTAGATTGTTGCTGCCTTCTCCCTCAAATGAAAGAATGACATGTTACAGCATCTTCTTTTGCTCTACTATGTTATGGGGTTAATGGAGGTAACCCATGATTTCTTTTGTGTTCTCTGCTCTGATCTTAAGTATCAGCAAGTCACTTTCATCTCTATGTATTTGTAGCAAGGGTATATTGCAAAACATATCAAGGTCCTACACTGAAAAATCCTCCAAAATACAAATACTACTGCAAAGGGACATGCTAGAAAAAAAAGTAGTGGTGACGTTCGTGAAAGGAAATGAACTTATTTAAGCAAGGTACCACCTATCTTCTGTCCTGTGATAAGCCATTTTTGGTCACAGTAAATTATATTATGGCTTGGTTGTAGTGTTATGCCTTATGTTGGTGGTGTTGTTTCAGGTTCCAGTTGCGAGCAGTGCAGAGAAGGAGCCACGTACTCAGGTGCAGTAATATCTCCGAACTTAGAAACCACTAAAATTATGCGAGTTCCTCATGCTATGTCAGTGTCCGACTGCATCGCAGCATGTTGTGATCTATCTGGTTGTGACTTGTCATGGATGTTTGAACGACGCTGTTACATTGTGAACTGCCAACATAAAGAGAATTGTGAACCTAAAAAAATTGAAACTGTGAAGTCCTATCTTTCTTTTGTGCTGAGGCCTTCTCAGAGGCCAGCCTCGCTGCTAGGATTTGGGCAAGTGATCCCAAGCATGGTCCACTCTGTGGGACTTCAGAATGAGCCGTCTGAGGAAGTGAGTAGCTTGAAGGAGCTGTCTCTGCTTCGCAAAGATCCAAGTCTTGAGGAGATACCTGAATACATTGATGATTATAAAGAGTTGGAGCAGGACCCCTTTCAGCTGAGCATCAAACATGAGCAGAAGGAGAGCACGGATTATGCTGACTGGGGCCTGATGGTAGCAGGTGAAAACAGCTTCAACTCTTCCATGGGTGATGACGGAAATAACCAGGAAGACTTTGCTGAAAAGAAAGGGGAGGCTGGGAAGGTCGAAAGCCTTCTGAATACAAACAGCTCTGAATTGAACTCTGTCACTGAACACTCCATAGAAAGGTTGTCATCTCTCCCAGAGATTACACCATTCCCTGGGAAGACACTTGAAAGTGAAGCAGCAGTTCAGCTCCTTGCACAACCTGATGACACTTTGCAAAAAGAGGTATGTTTGCCCCTCAGGAAGCAGACAGCACATGGTGAAACTTTGAATTGAAACTTTGCAATTGTTTTGGTTTTCAAATAAAATTAGTTTACTGCTTTGTAATGCAACCCTAACACTGAAATTTGACTTATAGTCCTGTGACAGTGTAGAAAATGCTGAAGGGGAGAGGGAGGGTTGTCTTAATTGGTAGATGAATCGCTAAAGGACTCTCTTTCTAACAGATGATAAGGAGCAGAGCTCCTTTTGGGACACTGGGGTTTCCTTGGAAGTGTACAGATGAGTGGGCTGGGACCTGTTGCAATAGTGTTATGGTATTCTTCCCTTCTGACCCTAGGTAACTCGTTAGAAAGTTAGCTGAGCGAGACTAGTGGAACCTCTAGTTAATATCCAGAGGCGCAGACCAGTAAACATAAGTTCCTCCATCAATAAAATTAAGCCTGTTTTATGGGTTTCATGTTACTAATGTATAGTGATGTTACAGTTGTAATGGTGCTGAGTAAATACCTTTTATAATGCTTTTAAAATGTGAGAGAGGCAAGGTATGTAAGGAGTGACAGTGGTGGTTTTGCACCATGATGTACAGCAGGATAAAGTGGGTAAGGTGTTTTTCTTCTCAGAATCCTTTTCTTGAGTCTGGCAATAAGAAAAATAAGTTAAATACTTAAAACTAAATTTAGATACTTAAGGAAGATGCAGCTGTTCTCTATGTCAACCAGTTTGATCAGTTGGGACAAAAGGGGCTCTGGTTCCTTAATAACAGGGTGGGATCAGCTGGAAAGTTGAAACAGGCTGTAAAGTCAATATTTACTGGGTTTGACATGTACCCCTGCTAGAGGGAAGAGGAAATTAAGCAATGCTAGCTGGATTGCTCTAAATTCCACCAGATTTTGTAACCAGCAACTACCTGTCTCTTGCTATAAAAATGATAATTTATTGCCATTACTGTAGGGAAGAAAAATACATGTAAATAAGAAAGTTGCATGAAATCTGTGACAACTGAGGTTCTTGGAGGGGATGACTGAAATGGCAAAGTGTGTGTGGAAAATAGCAAGTCTTAAGATACAGTCTAACTGGGATACCATTGCAGCCTAGATGTGTTGGCAGTTTCTGGGCTCTGTTTTGTGATCTTCTAGATATTCTGAGAACTTCTGGGATTCTTGTGGGGAGAGGGGGGCTCTGGGAGTGCTGTGAGGAACATGAGTCGTTGCTGCAGTTGGGAGAGGACAGCTAGCAGAGGCTGGGGCCTCTAGCAGCTTCTCACAAGCTCTGTCAGCTCTTCTTGATCAAAGGGTGCTTTGGGCTTTTGTCCTAGCTGGCTCTTGATCAGAGGGTGATGCACCCTCTCAGCCAGGTGCTGGGGGGTGGCTAGCAGCTCTGCCCAGAGATGGCAATGAGCTAGTCAAGAGTTTATATGGGTCAGGGCTGGCAGGCCAACTGTTATGGGCAACATTAGGGTACATATCTGCTCCAGACTGCCTGGTCAGGAAGAAGTAGATGAAGCCTTCAGGCAACTGGGAGGAGCCTCATATTCACAGCCCCTCGTCCTCATAGGGGATTTAAGCCACCCCAATACCTACTGGGAGGGCAAGAGAGCAGGGCACAAGCAATGCAGGTTCCTGGAGTGTGTGGATGATAGCCTGAAGAAGTTATCAGAACTGATTGTGTCCTGGAGATAAGCGGGGACCATAAGCACAGGTTGCATTTCAAGGATCACTTCCTCTGGGTACAAGATGGCCTGTGAGTTTTGTGATAGACCAAATTGGTCTGGAGTTTATTGGCATGAGTGAGAAGAGATTAGAATTGGTCTCCATGCATATGGAAGAATATTTGATAACAGAGAAAGTGCTGTTGCAAGTTGAAAAGTGTGTACTGCTTCTGCAAGCAGAGTTGACAGCAGAAGACTTGTTTTAAAAAGTATCTACCATGCAGACCTCGAAATGAGCATAAAGTAACGTGAGAATTTAGGCAAGAGGGGTAGATGCTATTTGTTTTTTCTATTGGTATGCAAAAAGTACATATAAATGTGCATATGAAAAGTATGATATCAAAATATACTGTCTCTGCTGATAAAACTTAGAGTGACATTCTGTCATGCACTAGAGTTGCAGTTAGTTTTAACAAAGGGCAATAGCTGAGCTGTTCTTACAGAGTCAAAATTTAAGGAAACCCAACTGCTGTTGTACTAAGCTAATCTCTCATTTTTCTTTCCATCTGCTAGGAGAAACTAATGAGCATCTTTTAGTTACTGCCTGTGCTGTGTGTGGGAAATTAAGCCATGGAAAGAACCTGCGGTATCTTCATGCACCTCCATGTTTGTGCACTTTGGCCGTACAGTAAGACATGAAGCTTGCCTCCATTGTAATTTTCTGGCAAATGGAAGCCACATTAGCACTGTGCTAAGCTTTAGCCAATTGTCAGGATCTCTGCTGACTGAACTGCCTTGTGCCTTAGAGAAGCCATACAGCTCTGAGTTCACCTAAAGCACGTGGCAAACAGAGCTGAGCAAATTTGTCCCCCTTCTCTAAGGGATCATGTGAATACAACTTTATGGAAGTTGAGATTTCACATCTTGCAGTGGTAACGATATATATGGCCAAGCCTACTTTCTAAATCTCTACTTTGATTTGGCCACCTCAGCCAAAATAGAAAGATTTTGCTTTCTCTTTGTGCACTGCCTGTGTAGATGGGAGTTTACTGTAAAGTGAAATGAAACCTATTTCTCACTGGGATGGGGAGGAGGCATTTCTATGTTCTCTTTACATTATGCCAATACAGCACTAAAATTCTTGTGAAAAGGCTGAGGATTGAACTTGCTTCTTTCAGTGCAGAAGAGATGAAGCTCCAAAACTGTGTCAGTCTTTAGCCCCAGCTGGTATTGATGTTGAAGAGCTGAATATGACAACTGTAGTTAGAAGGTGATCTGGCAGTGCTCTGTTAGCAGAGCTGTAGGAGGCTGATGGGATAGCATTGGTAACTGTTCATGAAGTGGATTGTGAAATGACTCTGAAGGCTCTCTATTAATGTAGAGAAAGGTTAATAATCTGGAAAAGCAGAAGGTTTTGAGAAACCGCCAAAGCCTGTACAGCCTTTGTTTCCCAAGTGGGAATCCTTTGTAGGATGTAGACATCTGTAGAGAAATGAAGATGATGAGCAGTTTGGCAAACACCTTTCCCTGGCCTTCCCCAGGTTCAACTTCAGTTCAGACACATCTCCTCTCTCCCCTTCCTAGTCTTCACCCCCCTTCTTTTCACTGCACATTATGCTCAGTCTCTTTGAGGTGACAGGCGGCACAGGAGGTTGGGGTCAGTGCATGGCATTTTCCTCTTTGCCACTTGTTGCTTCTTTCTCTTTTCTGTCACTGTTCCTTCCCTCTTACTTGCTGCTTCTGCTCCAGTGTGGGCTTCTCTGTGGGCCTCGGTCCCCTGGGAGGTGGCATGAAGTGCTTCCTTCTAAGAGGGTGTCTCCAGCCCTGTGCCCAATAACGACACCTTCCACATGTTCCCTTTCATGTGTCCTGTTGTACATCCTCCCCACCTCCTCCTGTGTCCCCTGCCCCCAGTGGCTATTTTGCCCTTTCTTAAGTGTGTCTGAGTGGTTGCAGTGTTGGCACATGGTGGCTTGTTTTCATCCATTGCCAGACTGTCTGGGACTACAGGGGTGACCCCTGCAGCCAGTCTCCTGCCACCCAAATCCTGCTGGTTATGCCTAACACAAAATTCCAGCTTGGCTTCAAGTTTTTTTAGTTTGGGAACTCTAGTGAAAAAGATGCTGCCTGTGATAAATTCTGGTGATAGGATTTCCTTCTTGTGTGTCTCTTCTTCAGCAAGCAGATATTTTAGTCAAATCTCATATGGATTGTTCAGGCACATATTTTTGTTTCCTTCTGAAAAAGTGTTTCTTTGGAAATCAAATTTTGTTATTAAGGAAATCCTAGGTTTTTATACTGGATTAAAAATGCTGAGAAGTCTCCAAATAGTTTTCTCTCTGGTATATGATTCAAACTACCTCTCAAAATGTGATCTTTTTCTATAGTTATGAAAATGTGAAGGTCTTAAAATAATTTTTGCTAATAACTTTAATGAAATACCCTCTGTTGCGTGTTATACAATATTTTCCTATCCTCTGCTTAATTCTGGCACGGCAATTCTATAGCTCTGTTCCTAGATCCGTACTGACGCACTCCCTTCTGCAGCTTCCAGACAAAGCTGTTTTGACAAGCAAGACAGAGCAGGGTCGCAAAAATGCAATTCCTTCTCTTCACAGTATTCAGCAGAACGCAGTGTCCTCAGGTGTTGTGTTCTTTGAGCAAGGACCTGGAAGAGAGATTTTTAAACTGTGGGACCAACCAAACACAGGCCTCTGGAGTCTGTGCCCCAGGAGCATCTGTGTTATAAATGCAGTCTGGTGTAGTGGGTTTCTGTATGTGACTTGGGATAGAGCATATCCGGTTTGTCAGTTAACTGAGTAACCTGGCTTTTGGGTTTACATCAGAGTTCAGAGTGATCTTATGGACTGTCACCCTCTAGCAGCTCAATAACATGAATACATTTAGAAAACTACAGAGTAAATGCTGTCAAGCTGCCCAAAACAGAAATCTGCAGTGCTGCCTATCTTTCAAGTCAGATACCTGTGAAATATGAATTGTCTTCAAAATTTCCAGTTAACTGCTGATCTGTTAAGCAAGGTGGGGTTTTTTCAGGTCTTAGTCAGATTCTAGCTAGTGCTATGTTGATGATGCAGTGTTTCAAACACTTATTCAGTACATTAGGCCTGACTTGATTCTTGAGTTTATTGCGTTTGCAGGAATAATGGTGCAGTCAAAATGCTTAAAACTCTACCTAAGAAATCTTAAGACGGCTGACATATGTGATGAAGTCTTTTAATGTCTGATTGGTATGCCTTTAGAATTGATACTTAAGAGTTAGAATGAAGTGGAATATCATAGATGTTCATATCTTATTCTGGCTTTTCAGTTTTGAGGCCTGTGAATGCTGAACAGTCCTGTTTGGTTAAAAATGCATTGAATTGATCCCTAGGGGATGTACAAGACCCCTGAAAGATGTTTTGATATTTAGATTTACCTGTCAGAAATGTTTATTTCTTTCTTGAAGTCTGCACTTCGTGTTATACGGTATGATGGTTGATGGTATGCTCTTTTGCAACTCCCCAACTGCACAATTAGTAGAGGTCATACTTGCTGAAAATCATTAGGCAGATAGCTGAAGGCAGAGAAGGAGGGAGGAGCAGACCAGTGGAAGAGTAGAGTTTCACTGCTGACAGAGCTGCTTTGCATAAGGCTTTCCAGATAAATGAGAGAGAGCAAGTAGGTAGTAGTCATATGTGCAGAGGGACATGGAGGAAACACTGCTGGGGAAGCAGTCATATAAAACACAACATGAGCAGCCCATGACTCCTGATCAGTTGTCTTTAAGAGTACTTAAGAAGGTGCTTCCTTGGGAGGGAGAGATGGATTGCCTGGAGGATCAGGATGGAGGAAGGCAACATGGTTGGGCTTGTCCTTCCTATTCAGGGGGAGAAAAAAGAAAGCACCTAGTCTGTGGGGTCAGCCAGGTCAGAAGTGGGGAAGGATACACCTTGGCAGGATGCTGTTGCCTGCAGTGTAACTTTGAGCTGCTTTTTTTTTTTTTCCCTTCCTTTTGGATTATGGGGTTTTTCTTGTTTTCTGTTGGAATTCTCAAGAGATCTGCACTCAGGTCAGACCCCAAGAACTGAAGGACATGGACCCTCATGGTCAGTGTGTTTATTTTATAACAAGCAGTAGTGGCTGTACAGGTGGGTAAAAGCAAACAAAAAACCCACAAAGCCCGTACCAACAGAACTGCCTACCCTGCTCACTGCGTGAAAGAGTCCTTTTCTTTCCTTTTCCTTTCAGTTCCCAAGCTGGAATTTAGGTTAATTTTGCCCTCCCCATCTGCTCCGGTGTATCTCTCAGTAATAGTTTCTGCCTGAGAGCTTAATTTCAGATATTGCCCCTGCCCCAGTTATCTGCTGGCTGCTAACTTTCTTAGTTTAAGCTATCTTTTTGGCTGTGACACTGCTTCAGACGCGACAGTGCCACAGGGCACCTTTTTTGAATGCAGAGTCTTGCCTAGGCTTGCTGACAGAAGAGATTTTTGGTGCTGTTGCAAAGAGAGTGTCCCAGGAAAGGTACATTTGAGGTGACTTTGTCCCCATCTGTCCTACAAAGCCAGGATGGCTGCTTCTCAGCTGATAGATTGGCAAAGGGCCAGGAGAGGAGGAAAGCCAGAGGAAGCTCAGAAAAGTAGATTTCAAGAAACATTTTGTTTTGCCAAAGTGTGGTAAAGAAGATATTTTTGGAAGATGTGGGATGGAACATGTATGTAAAGGAGAGTTGTCTGGAGGAAAGGGGTTTTGTCAAGGTGTGAGGCAGGATGGGCTTGAGGCTCTCCCTGTGTGTGATAATGTTGTCAAGTGTGAGATGCCTGCTGAGGGTCTAGGGGTTGGCCTCACTGCCTTAGGAGAGCTGCAGTCCCTGATCCTGCTATCAGTGTCCCAGCTGCTCAGAGAGATCTTACTATCTGCATGTTGAGCAGAGCTGGATGTGTGGCCACAAAGGTGCTTGCATCGTCTGTGTTGTGGACCCATGTGGAAGTGCAACTCTTGGTGTGGTCCTCAGCTTCCTCACAGGGTAGGCAGCCAGAGTCTCCAGTGCTGCTGTCACTGTCACAGCTGTGCAGGGATCTTTTCTCTCTGTCCTTGTTGAAGGCAGAGATGGAGTTGCAGATGACTTCCATGCTCTCTTGTTTCCTTGCAGGCTGGGAAGCAACAGTCCCTGGCATCGCTTTTGCCTTCCCAGCTGCACAGGGAGCTTTTCCTCCTGTCCACATCCAAGGCAGAGCTGCTCTGATTGCCTAGGGAAGGCAATAGACAGCAGAGTAGAAGTGGAGCACCTGAAACACAAAGAGAAGCTGAGAGCTGGGACTGTTCAGCCTTGAGCAGAGAGTGTTCAGTGGGATCTTACCAATGTGTATAAATAACTACAGCAGGAGTGAAGATGATGGAGCCAGGCTCTTCTCAGTGCTGTCCAGTGACAGGACGAGAGGCAATGGAGACAAAGGTGTCACAAGGAATTCTATTTAAACACTAAAGACCATCTTTTTCTTTTTTCCTGTGAGGATGGTCAAACATTGGAACAGGTTTTCCAGGGGTGTTGTGGATTCTCTGTCCTTGGAGATAATCAAAACCTGACTGGACATGGTCCTGAGCAGCCTGCTGTAGCCTAGTCCAGCCCCCCTCCTCAAAGCAAGGTCAGCTATCTCCAGAGGTCCCTTCTCACCTCAGCCATTCTGTGATGTGAGCGTGCATTTTACCAACCTTCATCATCCTATTCTTCAGTTAATAGTTGGCCCATTGAGACTAAGGTGTTGCTGAAAGGTGATGGGTCCTGAGAGAGAGGAGCAAGGTGAAGGGCAAGGCTAACACAGTGCTGAGTTATTCCTGCAAAACTTGCCATGTCCTTTGCTGCAGTTCTGATTCACTAACAAGGTGGGGTAGTGAGAAGAACACTACTGCTTGGTGACTGAAGTAGAGATATTTAGGGCATTTTATTAGTGGCGAGAGAATAACAAGGCATGAGCAAGTTCTGGTCTGAGCAGATGTAGTAAGAGTCAAGGATTCTGTTATGTCTCTGTGTGTACAGCACGAAGACAGTAACACTCATCACACAGGCTTCATGCCATTGGCTTTTAAAGGTTTATGACTGTCTTTAGACCTGTCCTACTGCTCTTTATTATTTTGAGAACTGATAGCCTTAGTTGTATTCCAGGTTACCTCATTTTGATGACCATAGCCTACACTGTTCTGCATCTGAAACTTGGAAAATGATTAACATTTCTTACAAAGCCTGATGGGAAAAGAAAAAGTCCCCCTTCGATAGACATTCTGTATATGAATAAAATCTCCTAGTAACATAGATCAGAAGGCTTACCCTACATGCTAGTTAAAAAACAGCGTACCTTTAAATCTAGAAATGTGAAAAATGGTTCACTTATGACAACACTTTCTCTATAATTAATTTTTCAGGCTGCTACACCTTCCCCTTCTTCGGAAAAACTGGATTTCTCCCCAGGTGTGTCAGAGAAAACCCAGACTCCCACAGTGGCCCCAGAGAATGTCACTGAAGGTGGGCTCATGCTACTTCCCACTAGTACTGTGCCATCTGAGTCCATGCAGCAATTCACACCACCAGCTACTGCTGGTAAAGCAGGTAATGTTTCACCATAGCTGGAGACCTGAGGGTTACTTGCAGGTTGGACAGTGGGCGGGGGTGGCTTTACTACTGTCAGGTTTCCAACCTGTTGTTAGTTAGGAGCTCATTCTCTATCCAAATTTAACATCATCTCACTTTAAGCCTGTAGACCTGTGGTAACACTGCAAACGGCAAACCCCTCAGACAGTTACTTCTGAGGCAAAAAAATTACCAAATCCATCGTTAATGGGAAATAATAACTCAAGCAAATACAGCAAAGTAAAAAGCAGAGTTTAAGAGCCTTTTTAAATGGGTTAATTTTTATAGTTGGTGAGAAATACCTTTCTGGAGTTTCAGAGTAGTGTTTTAGCCATACTGTTATTTTTGTGTGACTCTTCATAACGTTGCTTGCTCTCAGAAATTCCTCAGTAGGGTTCCCACTATATATGGTTGTCAGATTTCATGCGGCAACATAGGTGCGATCTGAGGAAGCTCAACCCTTAATAGGGGAGAGGCCTAGCCCTTAGGGGAGAACACGGCCTCCTCATCCTGGGAAAAAAAAGTTCTGCTCTAACTTGAGAGCTGTGAGGAAGCTTATCAGACTTCTAGCTGCAGAGCAGAAGTTCTTATTTGAAAAGGACATGTTTAACCACTATGTCCTCTGCAGTTCTGTTAAATTCTGTGCGTATGTTAGAGTATCTCCTTTCTCCTGCTGGATTTCCTGCCTCCCTGTGCACCCTGACAAAGGGTTAGAAGGGCCACAAGAAGCAGAGAAGCACAGATGTGTATTCTTCTGCACTCCTGATGTAGTGAGGGATATGGAGAGCTAAAGCCCTTTGCTTCCTGGTAGAGCAGGTCTGGTTTGGAACATTCTTGGCACCCTCTGCCAAACTGCAACTTGCCAGCCAGGATAGTGGTAGGAGGTAACAGGAAGAGATGAGCTACAAGAGATCCCTCTCCAAGGCAATGGATCATCATTACCATTGAGTGTTGACTAGGCAGCTCCTCCTCCTCCTTCACAGGAGGAGGTTGAAGAGGACTCAAAAAGGAGCTTGGAAGAAGAAGCTGAAGGGAAGGTTGTGATGAATCTCACTGTAAGTCCTGTTTTGTGCAAGGATTGCCTCAAGTTTGTGTGTTGTCAGCCGTACTGTCTTGGAAGTCTTGAAGGTAGTCCCTCCTTCTCTCCTTTGGTCGTCACCCTCATCTAGCCATTTTATTCTCATCTCATGTGGAGGTCAAAGTACAAACCTCCACTCCACTGGTGTCTAGGGCAACTCCCATGAGCGGTTATGGAGCCTTGGGTGCATTTAAGTAGAAGTGACAGAAAGTGTGCTGTCAATGCGGCCTCTTTACTTCATCCATTTTTAGACCTGTCAGCTGCCACTGCTGAGTAACCTCTTGCTCCTCTATTATCGGTCTATAGGAACCTTTCCTGAAGTTGTGCTTTGGTATGTTTCTGTTGGGGACTGGATTTGTGGCCTTTGGCATTTTTGGAAGGGGAAAAAGTTTTCACAGATGAGAACTGGCAGAATTTTTAAAAGGGATGCTGGGCTGGACATTGAGGCATGCCTCACAAGTGTCACACAAACATAGAAGCAGTGCTTCTTGGTGAAAGAAGGTGTGATATTAGAGTTCTAGTATGGACTATGTTACTCTATTTAATGAGGCTTGTGGTGCAGATGGCTTCTTTGTCTTCTGTAATTGTGTTATTTTTTAATTCCTGCACTTCCATCCAATTACTAAGAAAAATGCATAGTCCTTTATGCAGAGCAATGTTACCTGTGATATACAGGAATAATCAGAATGCTTTTCTCTAAAACAGAAGTAGGGGCAATTACACTTCATATTTGGGGAAGAAGAAAAATTTTGGTTTGGTAAAAGGTGAAGGCGCCTTAGTCATGATTATTTGATTATGTGTTGGGGAATTTTTTTTTTACTTATCCTTGCCTATTCACTGTAGAGGGTTTGTCAATTTTTACTTAATCCATTACAAATAATATTTGAAGATACTAAATTTATATCCATCCCATCTGTTAAAACATAATGTATTCATTCTGTCTTAGATACAGTGAAAGAACTTATTGTGTCTGCTGGAGATAACATACAAGTAATGCTACCCAAAAATGACGTTGAACTGAATGCCTTTGTTGTCCCGCCATCGCCTACAGGTGAGTTGAATGGCCTTGGCATACAAGGAGGTGCACATACTACCAAGCTTTAAATATAGACAAGTCCCAAGTTATGTGAACATCTGCACCTTAGGATAAAACCGTCTCTCTCATGTCCTACTACTACCTTTTTTGTGGCTCTAACTGCAGAGAGGATTTCCTCCTTTGGATTTTAGAGATTTTTTTTAAAGTGGCTTTTATTTTCAGAACCTGAACTTAGTAGCCAAGCGGTTCAATAGAAAGCCTGTAGATTCCACCAGACGATGATGTGGCCCTGGTTATAGCATCTTGCTGTAAAGCAGGGTGAGGGGGGAGTAGGTTCTGAATGCAACATTTACCTTAAAACTATCAGCTTCTGAACTGCAGCAGCAATGAATACGTATTTCATAGGTAGCTATGTTAAACTCATTCACTTCACATGAGGCTGTTTTTTTGTGAAGTCCCTTACATCCTTGCTGCTTTACCATGTTAATTCCACTGTGGAAGTTTAACATGTATTCGTACTGCTTCATTTTGCAGGCTTAAACAGCAGCACTCATGACTTTCTACTGTAGTATTTTATCTGACGGATGGTGAACTTGATTTCTATGTTCCCTGGGCTTATCTTGAAGGCAAAGCTGATTACTCTTATGCTGTGTTATTGCTCTTAGAAACAGCCTACACCTATGAGTGGAGCTTAATCAGTCACCCTCCTGACTATGGTGGTGAAATGGAGCGCAGGCACAGCCAGACCTTGAAGCTCTCTCATGTAAGTGAGGTGTAAGCTCAGGCTCATTGTGTTCGTGTGGTCCTTTCACAGCAATCTAACTTGTGGGGAAGGGCACCTTGACTCAAGGAGTTTGAGTGTCTGCCAGAGTCTCTTCACATGCATGTGTCACCAAATCTTTGCCAGATTAGAACTGTCTTTTTTTAGAGCGCTCTAATAACTTTCTAAGCTAGAGAGAAATTCCTACGTGTTTGCTTTGTATTCCCCACTTCTGGGCAGTGACTAGTGACCTTTTGTGTATGTGCTCATAAAAGGAGCTCTAGGTTTCAGATGTCAGATTTTTCTCTGTTGGCAGATTTATGCATACCGCTTTTGTATAATTTGACATGTAATCTGATTTGTTCTGTTTGTCTCAGTTATCGGTGGGACTTTATGCCTTCAAAGTGACTGTTTCTGGTGAAAGTGCCTTTGGTGAAGGTTTTGTAAATGTCACAGTCAAACCAGGTAAATCAGTTGGCTAAAATAATGAAATTAATTTCTTCAACACAAGTAGTTGTACAGCATGATTATCTAATAGTCTGTCAGTTACTGTCTGTCAAGGACATCTGGTAGTCCAATCACGCAGAGATGTTTTGTACCTTGCCGTCTATAAAGCATTTTAAGGAAGTAGAGTTAAGGATCTTGGTCACTTGTGTTTAAGTGCTCTGTGTACCCTCCTCAGGCAAGGCCTGAGATAGCATCATGCCACCTTTTATGGTCCCCTTCTCCAGTACAGCTAGGAACAGCAATTAGGTGGTGAACCGGCTCTAGCTGCATGCACGGGTCTGATCTAAATTATACCCGTTAGAACTGGCTGCAGCAGAAGACTGCTGCGTCAGCGTACTGCTCTTTAGTAACCTTTTTCTCTCCCATGTCCAAAAAGGACATCAGATGCTGCAAAGCTGTCAATCCTAGATTTAAATCACTAGGGACTATTGATCTGTAGAGTTAAAAGATGAGTTTTGCCCGGGCTTTCACTACTTTCCCCCCTCCCTATCTTTCTCACAGGTGTCAGAGTTAACCAGCCACCTGTTGCTGTTGCTTCACCCAAAGTGCAAGAAGTTTCTTTGCCTACAACTTCTACCTTCATTGATGGCAGTCGTATGTACTGGACCATCCTGTGCTTATATCCTGTATTTTTGTTACAGAATTACACTACTATTGTTTGTCAGTTAAAAGTGAAATTCCTTCTTCTCACTATACTCAGAAGTTCCTTGAATCATGATTTATTTTGGGGATTTGAGTCCAGTTATAAATTACTATAATACATAAAAAAAGTGATAAAATGCAACCTTCCACTTGGGGATTGAGATGCAGTGCGTCAGAGGCTGCTGCATCCAAACAGGAGCTGCTATTACAGCTTCTTCCTGTCCTGCCCAGAAGGACTTTGTGCCAATACAGCTGGGGCCATGGTAGAGAGCTGTTATGTAGAGTATGATGAGATGTCATAATTATGTTTTTAATTACTGAGAGCAGACAAATTGGAATGTGCAGAGTCTAAGACTGATTTTTATTTGTGTGTGAAGAATTGTTTGTTTGTTTAGATAAACCATACCAAATGTAGCTTGGAATCTGTGGTTTAACAGCTATGGTACATGAACCCTGTTCGAATATGCTTGAGAAGATAATTGTAGAAAACCAGTTAGGGATCAGTGCATGAAAGACTTTATTATTCATTCCAGTAATTGCTACAAGAAACTGATATGTTTTTCCTTAATGAATGTAGAAAGTATAGATGATGTGAAGATAGTGAGTTACCACTGGGAGGAAATTAAAGGTCCTTTGCGAGAGCAGAAGGCATCTGCTGACACACCTGTCTTGCACTTGTCTAACCTTGTTCCTGGAAACTACACTTTCAGGTACCTGCACGCTTGCTTTCCTTTGGGATTTTAACTATTTCTGTGATGTCAGCTAAATGTTTGTTTCTCCTTGTGCTCACATGTACCTCCTTAAACAAAAAACTTCATTATTCTTCTGCATGCTGTTGCCCTTCATTTTGCACAGTGGAGAGACATAGGGAGTGCTTTTTTTAAAAAGTGCTTGCAGTGATTTTGTGATACTGGTGTAGTGATACTTTACAGCATAATGTTATGCAAAATGAGATACCAGAAATTAAATACCTCCTACTCCCAGCAATAATATGACAGAGCATTTTTATGGGTTTGCTTTGTTTTGTTGTTTTCGGTTTTTTTGGTTTGGTGGGGGTTTTTTTTGTTTTTGTTTTGTTGGGTTTTTTTTTTTTTCCCCCACAGCTTAGAAGTTGGCAGGTGCCCTGAGATTAAATTCTGCAGTCAGGCTTGAAAGTCATCCCTTGGAGGGTAGTGGCAGACAGCAATATTGGGACAGTGATCCTTGCAAGGCACTGTTGTGTGCTGATTTTAGTAAGAGTCATTCTGTTCTTCATAAAAGCCTTTGCCTTGCTACTGTTTCCTCCATTTATGCATTGCTGGATTTTGTCCAGACAGTGGAAGCAATATTTGTGGTTCTGGGTGCTTTAATTAAAATCAGGGTTCATTTTCTGAACTTTTTAACTTAAAGCCTAGTCTGTACAGAAGCAGACTTCCCACTGACCCAGCCTGGGTTATTTGGCTGCCAGTGGGTAATCGCTTAACCAGAAATTAAATACCTCCTACTCCCAGCAATAATATGACAGAGCATTTTTATGGGTTTGCTTTGTTTTGTTGTTTTCGGTTTTTTTGGTTTGGTGGGGGTTTTTTTTGTTTTTGTTTTGTTGGTTTTTTTTTTTTTCCCCCACAGCTTAGAAGTTGGCAGGTGCCCTGAGATTAAATTCTGCAGTCAGGCTTGAAAGTCATCCCTTGGAGGGTAGTGGCAGACAGCAATATTGGGACAGTGATCCTTGCAAGGCACTGTTGTGTGCTGATTTTAGTAAGAGTCATTCTGTTCTTCATAAAAGCCTTTGCCTTGCTACTGTTTCCTCCATTTATGCATTGCTGGATTTTGTCCAGACAGTGGAAGCAATATTTGTGGTTCTGGGTGCTTTAATTAAAATCAGGGTTCATTTTCTGAACTTTTTAACTTAAAGCCTAGTCTGTACAGAGGCAGACTTCCCACTGACCCAGCCTGGGTTATTTGGCTGCCAGTGGGTAATAGCTTACCAGTCAATACATATCAGTGTAGCATCAGCAGAATGTTGAAGCCAGCATACATAAACATTAAACGTGGTGCTTTGCATAAGCTTCACCAAAAATTGCATGGCTTCAACTTTCGTTCTGTGTTCTTTACTAGAATTGTTCCATATTGTACAGTGGCAGAATGAGTGTAGGATTTTTTTTCTGTATTAAAAAGGGCAGAGCTTGCTTAGAAGCAATGCTCTAAGTGTGTTCCAAACCATAGGGAATTAAGAAATCACTTGCTGTATCTCTGCACCTTTGGGGGTGGCTGAGGCACTTGAACACGAGAGAGTGTGTTCAAGTCTAAATTAAATTAGCTGGTCCATAAAATCCAGTGTTACTGATATGCACAGATGTGCACCCAATGCAAAAGTGTGTATTCCCTAATGACAGAATTAACAAGCACTAGTTTTGTTCCCACTTGGGGAAGGCTTCAAGAGTGGTTCCCTCCCATGTGGTCAGCTGTATGTAGTTTTCACAACAGAGATGAATTAGAGATGTAGTGGGTTACCACACAGGGGAGGGCAGTCTTTCATCGCTTTCAGTTGTCTGCAGCAGTCTCATTTTACTATGATTTGTCATTGTGTTTCTGAGAGGCAATAATGTTGTTTTTTTTTAAAAAAAAAAAAAACAAAACAAAACTGTACTTTTTTAGTTTTGTGTCTTATCAGCTCAGATTTTTTAAGATGTTATTAAGCTCCATTAAAATCAGTAATAGTGTGCCACAAAACAGTAAGAAGTTAGGAACTGCTACTGTGCTATAAGCAGAGCTTCTGAATGTCCAGAGTAGTTTTGGATGTAGGTGTTAACAGGGACTGTTCCACTGTGACTGATGAATGAAATCCCTGGGTTTTACTGAGTAAGTTTTTTAAAGAATTTGCAGTGAAATCTGTTTGAAATTGAAAAGTTGCTATTGGCTGCAGGGAAAGGGTTTCATCTGGGATCCAGAATATCTAGGGTTTGTTTTGTTGTTGGTTTGTTTGGTTTTTTTTTTTTCCAAAGGTTGAAAGCTGTGTTTAAAAAGTCTTCTGAATTCCTTTCCTACCTTAGTTGAGGGATGTGTGGTTTTGAAGCAGAAGTTCATATAATCTAATCAGTGGCTCAGGTTTAGGTGGTGTTTGAAAAAGTGCTAGAAAAAGTTAACCTTTGAACTTAGAACTTGGCAAAAGTCCATCTTCACAGATTTCCAATACTGTTTTTACTGTTGTAGACTCACAGTGATTGATTCAGATGGAGCAGCCAACTCCACCATTGCATCTCTGACTGTCAACAAACCAGTGGATTACCCACCTATTGCTAATGCAGGACCTAATCAGGCAGTCACCTTGCCCCAGAACTTCATCACGCTGAATGGAAACCAGAGCAGTGATGACCATGAAATTGTCAGCTATGAGTGGTCGCTCAGTCCCAAAAGCAAAGGCAAGGTTGTAGCAATGCAGGTATGTCTATTTTTCCTTGCATAGAACTGGAAAGCTCTTCCATCTTTGCCTCTAATGCGAGCCAACGTGTACCTAAGTAACTACTCAGAAGCACTGAAATATCTAGAAGGCTGTTACTTTTTTCTTTTTTTTTTGTTTCTCTCTGATGTATTCCACTCTTAGTTTAGATACTACTTTTAACTCCTCATAATTTTTTTTCATTCCTTGTGGCCATTTCTGATTCTGCTGTTGTTTGTTCCCTAGCGGTTTGGAAAGATTTTGAGTTCACAATGTCTGTCCTTGTCTGTACTTTTTTTTTTTTTTTTTGTATATGAAAAAAGTTAATAAATTGTCACTGGACTTGTGCTCACTAAGTTGGAGATTCTTGTAGCTCTGTAGGCAAATGAGGCAATTAATGTAACGAAGCCAGCTGAAACTCAGAAGCCATTTTTTATGAGATGTGATTTCTGCTATGTTACAAGTGCTTTAGACCCTCAGAACTGGAAAGAGTTTTGTAGATCTGTTTAGGAAAGGAGTAATATTGATGCAAGCATATATCGTAGAGGCAATTACAAAACTATGGAAGGGCTTATAGAAGAATGGCTTATTTCTTTTCATTTGCCAAGGCAAACACTTTCCAAAAGCATCCATGCAACCTGAACTTGTAGTTTTTAAGAGCTGTTCAGTCTTAAAGCAATCTTCCTGAAAGAAGGGAATGACTGCTTGAGATATCTAATGGATACACTGGGTATTTAATGTGGAAATGCAGTCACATTTTACAGTTTCTTCTCAAGAGCCTAGTAATGTTTTCGAAGTCCCTGAAGCTGAGGATGCCGGTCTCAGGTGTGTTACATAGTATCCACAGTTAGAGTGCAATGTAACAAGTACCGCTGCTGGTTAGTTACTCATTTATCAAGTCCCTTCAGTCTCATTATCATCTTTATCCAAAAAAACCCCAACTAACTGCATTGTGATTTGTTATTCCTCATATGAGAGATACCACAAATGTTCATTTTATTAGCAAAAGGACCTGTAGCTGGATCCAGTCATTTTATGAGCTTATATAGATATCAAGTAATACTGCTGGAAGAGTATACTGAGGAGAGAGTTGTCTTGTTTAACATGTTTTTTTCCATAAGCCTGTCTGGTTGGGATCAAGTCAAGTTTTGTTTTGTGTTTAACAATTTTTATAAATATTATATTAAAGAATGTCATAATGTTTGTTTTTAAAATATCTCTAAGGAAATGGAGTAAGCTGTAGTAATTTCCATCATTGTTTAATTTCCTGAGAAAGTTAGCATCCTATGTGTTTCACAATTATTGTCGTTCAGAAATAATACAGCAATTATACCAACATATGAAATTAAGGTTTATTTTCTATAGATATTTCTCTGGATTGGTAGGGACAGTTGCAATAGTGAATACATTTCATCTATCTGTGCATCGTTTTAGGTCTCCTCTGTCTACAAGGTGCTTAAAGTGCTTGCTCAAACACTGTATGAACTAAAACAAATTTTATTTTTTCTTCTAATTTACTCTGTAAGACCTTTCATAATCCATGAGCATTTCTGTTCTATCTCGTGCTCTCTGTCTTTATATACACTCTGTGTAGGGAGTGCGGACGCCGTACCTCCAGTTATCTGCGATGCAGGAAGGAGATTATACGTTTCAGCTGACTGTCACGGACTCTGCAAGGCAGCAGTCCACAGCTGAGGTCACACTGATCGTACAGCCTGGTAAGTCAGCTGCAGGCTGGGTCCCTCAAGGGTGGGCCAGCCTGATGCCTTAGCACTGCCCTCGAATGCTTCATCTCCCTGCATTGCACCACTGAGATGGCAGCCTGGATGTCTTGTATCCCTGCATCGAGGACTCTTCCACCTCTATTTTCTGTCAAAGCAAACAATTAAAACACGTGTAGAATCACAGAAAGCCCAGGTGATGATACTGAGGGCTCGCACCAGCCTGATTATTTACGGCAACCTGCAGAGAGATGTATTTATGTTTCTAAAAGCTAAAATGTAGCTCTTGATTTTAAGATCCTACAAAGTCTGTTTTGCAAAGCTGTTCAGTGTATCAGTCAGTGCTTTGCTCAGTTTTCTTACTGTTTTGCAGTTTTCCTTCAAGAATACTTGTGTGATTTGAATTCTCACTAGAATTGCATTGTACTTTCTAGGGAAAGTGTCAAGACAGGAATTTTCAAAAGCTGCATCTTTCCCACGTTTGTTTAGATTTGGGAGCTGAGTGATGAATAGGTCCTCCTGGGACTTTGTAATGTTTTTATTGTTGTTCTGATTTGGTGTGGTTTTGGGGTTTTTTTTGTAATGTGTTTGCCTGTTAGATTCAAAGTGGCCTTCTCTGCCAATCTAAAGGTGTTGCATTCTACCATGGGGCAACGTCTTATCTTCCTGTTGTTGCTTATTACACATCTTTTTGTAGAGTACCCCTTCTGGGAAAACCTTACAGCGGGCATTTACTGCAGAAATCAAGAACGTGAACTGGAAGTACAGTGTGTGGTGGTGCCTCTTAGACTTGTTTAGAGTGTGGAACTAGGAAGATGCTGTCGTGAAGTCGAGTCTAAGGGTAAATAAATACCCAGGAAAATGGTAGCGTTGCCAGTTTTACCATGCCACAAAAGAAGAGGTTGAAAACAGAATAATGGATTATATATTTCTGCACTAAATCCTCAAAGGCTCTAAAATGACATTAACTTAGTGACATCATGCTGACCTTGAGCAGCAGAAAACCTGGCCCAGTGTTGTCTTTGAGAACAAAGAACCATATTCGTGTGGGTGGTTTTGAAAGGCATGCAGTGGTGGAGCCAGGAGAAAACCCCACCACTCTAGTTATAAACCATTTCATACAATGTATTGAGCATGCTGCAAAATGTTTGGAGTGTGACTGTGCCTTCAGATGTTACTGTAAAAAAGGGAAGTACTTGCTGTGCGATTTGGCTTGTTGCAGAGCTGGTCTCTCCTGCCTAGTATTTTTCTGCTGACTTGTGCAGTTACACTTGTGATTTGCACCTTTGAGCCAGCGACTATCTAGTGAATGTCATACACTACATATTTTTACAGAAAATAACAGTCCTCCAGTAGCAGTGGCTGGCCCTGACAAGGAATTGACCTTCCCAGTAGAAAGTACTACACTGGATGGAAGCAAAAGCCAAGATGACCAAGGCATTGTCTTCTATCATTGGGAAAATATCAGGTATCTAGAGATTTTACTAATCTCCAGTAAAACAGAGAGCAAAGTGAAAATGATTGGGTGCCAGAGCCTCTTGTCCAATTGTGTTGGGTGTTGCACTGTTTGAGAATTGCTTTGAGAATCTTCCTGCTTGGGTGTAAGAGACAGGAGTTTTAAGTTTAACTTGGAAAGCTTAGGCGATCTCTGCCTATGTTTTGCAATGTGTCATTTTGAGGCCCACTGTTATAAAGTTAAGAGAAAATGACAGGAACTTCCATGCCTCCTGTTAAAAAGCGATTAACAGGCTTGGGTACACTCCTGTAATGTACAAAGTTTTCCCATCAGTGCTTAGAACTAGGGTTTCTCAGTCACTTGTTTGTTGAATAATAAATTGACGATCTGTTTAGCCTAAGCTTTCAATAATAGGTGACTAAAGCACTCTTGAATGATGATTGAAAATGTTTTACAGAAGTTTGTAACTGTATGTTACAAACCTAATTGATCCTTAATGAAAGGACAAGTTATTAGCTCACACAAATGTCATATCTGTGGTATGGGAAGAGGTTTCCTGGCATCCTGTACATGTTGTGAGTGGCTCTTAGAGCAACACTGTTTGCATGTTCCCATGAAATAGTATAGTGAGGAGGTTGAATTTCTGAGATGCATTTTCTGCTCTTCTAATGACTGGGTATGTGATGCTTTGGTGCTTTGAATGTCTTGGAAAAATGGATTTATGAATTCTCTGAACTAAACTCATGTCTCATAGTTCTTTAACCATCAGTGCTTATAGTGGTGGTAGAACTACAATGTACATTAAAAAAATGGAATGAGCAATGCTGCTGAAAGAACAGTTTGGCTGGCTGTGCAGGATTATTTTTGAGATGTTTTGTTTCAGTGGACCAAGCTCTGTACAGATGGAAAATGGTGACAAAGCAATAGCAACTGTGACCGGTCTTCAGGTTGGTACCTATCGCTTCAGGCTGACCGTGAAAGACCAACAGGGCTTAAGCAGTGCATCTATGCTATCTATTACTGTGAAGGAAGGTAAGCCTAGTTGCTGCTTCTTAGGGTATGGTAGGCAACTTGCCAGTTAATTCAACCACAGACAGAATGCAAAGGAAATCTGAACAGAAAGGGATATAATGTATTTGTTGTCATATTTCAAGGGTTATTCAAGAAGAGTTAGTGCTCTTTTGTAATATAGTAGTATTGTGAGTGACTGGTAGAATTAACTTCGCTTACTGCAAGCTTTTTAAAAGTTAAATATATGCAGAATTAGTTCTAATAAAAATTATTCCAAATACTATTTTTGACCATGGTGTGTCTACTTCATCAGGAGGATGTTTTTATTTCATTCTTACAGTTAAGCTTTGAGCAGAAAAGCAATTTTACTGTAGGTTTTAAGTAAAATCCAAGAAGTGAGGTCTCAGAATATACAAATTTCCACTGAAAAACTTAACATTAAAAGACCTGTATTTATTTTGGGGTTTTGATACAGTGAAACAGTTGCTGTGGTGTTTTTTTCCCCAACATGCATGCAGTAGAAGAGGCTTTAAGATAATAATACCTATTGTGTGAGATCATAGAATTTTTTAGGATGGAAAAGACCTTTTAAGATCATAGAATCCAACCATTAACCTAGCACTGCCAAGTCTTCCACTAAACCATGTCTCTAAGCACCAGGTCTACACATCTTTTAAATACCTCCAGGGGTGGGGACTCAATCATTTCCCTGGGCAACCTGTTCCAATGCTTGAAAACCCTTTCAGTGAGGAAATTTTTCCTCCTATCCAATATAAACCTCCCCTGGTGCAACTTGAGGCCATTTCCTCTCGTTCTATCACTTGTTACGTGGCAGAAGAGACCAACACCCACCTCGCTTACACCTTCCTTTCAGGTAGTTGTAGAGGGCGATAAGGTCTCCCCTCAGCCTCCTCTTCTCCAGACTAAACATCCCCAGTTCCCTCAGCCAGTCCTCATAAGACTTGTGCTCCAGACCCCTCACCAGCTTCGTTGCTTTTCTGACAGAGGTGCTGTCAGGTACTCCTGACATTTCATAGCTTTGACTTACGTTGCTTCGTCAAGTTTGCAGGTGGTGGTAATCAGCCATCTTTTGCCTCACATTTTCCTTAGGGAGTGATTTTTAGCACTCTCCGTGGGCCTATGCCTCCTTTTAAAGAAGGTGGCATAATAAATTTCAAATCTTGTTTGGTCCAGAGTTTGGCTTTCTGTGGCACTCCTTGATTTTTGAGAGGAGCAATGCAATCTGTTTCTGCAAATATGGTACCTATACCATTTATAAAATTATGGTAGAGTTGCATTAGAATTTTAACTTTTGACTTTCTTGAAAACAGTGCAGCTTTGTTTCTTTTTCACTTGGCATCCCTGCAGAACTAATGAATCTTAGAGAAGAAACTGGACTCAGTTTTACCCGTGTGCATCATTGGTTGTTCTGTTTCAGAGTTTCAGTTAGATGTTTAGTCAGAAACACATGGCAACAGTTGTGCCCAAATGTGTCTCGTGGTCTCATTCATGCTGTAAAGTGTAGCCACGGTATGTACTGACCACCGTTACAGGTTCAATATAAAAAAATGTTCAGTGCTTCAATAGCCAAGTTTAATCAACTGGTTAATTTGGAAGAGACAAGAAGATCACTTGTATCACAGAGAACTCTGTGCTGTTCTAAAGAATAGAGTTACAGCCAATGCCCTGGAGATCTGCCCAAAAGTGAATTATTTATGTGTAACTTAACATTCAAGCCAATGAGGTATTTCACTCAGCCTCACGGCTTCCTGGAGCTCTGTCTTACCAGTTGTGTTCTAAACAAAAGTCAGTGATGACTGATTTCTGGAAAGAAAATGTGTTCATATTTCTTTGGTGGTTTTTGGCCGTACTCCCAATGCATGCCTTAATTTCACTGCTAGTGGTAAGCAAAAAGCATTTGGGAACTGGGTTTACTCTAAGTTTCCTGATTACACTTTGCCTAAACACAGGTATTGTGAAGATATAAGACCTTACACAAGCTTCTATTGGGTAATAAGTGATTCTCAAGACAAGAAGAGCCCAGCATGGTGATCTCATGCTGGGCTGTGTTTCTAAGTAGGCAGAAAATATTTTTGCTTGACTGAGAAAACCTGACACTTAAGTTATTGTGAGACTGTAAATAGAGTACCTCACAATGCTTTTTGAAAAAGATCTTTTTGGATGGTACCTCTTATTGGTACTGTCCTCATGATGCAGCTCTGCTTTTGTCAGGTTGAAATAATCCCAGAGCCAAATTCTGTATACCCACTCATCCTTTCCCTGTGCCTTTGACATGAGATTCTGTTGTTACTGCCTGTAATCATCAGGTGAAAAATTGCAGTGTGGGTGTATTGGCAATGGCATGTCACATTTCACACGTTTTGAAAGCAAATCGTTCTCCTCCACTATTTTTTATGGCTAGAAAAGAACAGTCCACCCCGGGCGCATGCTGGTGGGAAGCATGTTCTAGTGCTTCCAAATAACTCTGTTACCTTGGATGGCTCAAGGTCTGCTGATGACCAGGGGATTGTGTCGTATTTGTGGATTCGGGATGGTCAAAGCCCAGCAGCTGGGGTAAGTTTCGTGAAGGTTGTAACAAGCCAAATTCAGCTCTTATTATGCATGTAGCATCACTGCAGCAGGGCAAGCAGGTACGAGTCAAAAGATGCTATGAGGCACGGTGTCTGCTTCTGGTTTGTCTCCCCTGCTCTCTAATGCTTTGTTTCAAGGGGCTTGTGGTATTTTCAGTAGAGCTATAGAATATGGTAGCTAAGTAAGAGGACTGCAGCAGTGTGGACTTAGTTGGGAAAGACTACAGACAGAAGAATACAGTTGTCTCTCTTAGAGTAATTGGTGATAGTACCAAGCTAATGTGTTTGAGAGAAAAATCATCTGAAATCCAGATACTCCAAAGGAGGAAGGGTCTGAGAGAGACGGAAGTGCTGATAAAGACGAAGGAATCCTGTCTGGTGCTAGATGAGGCAAAACTTGCAGTTTAGGATAAAAATGGTGTTTGGCACTACCTGTATAGATACCTTGCCTGGCAAACCACGGAGAATAGCCTGGGTCATTAGGGTGGTGGAGTCTGCTCTCCAGGTGGGGACAGACAGCAGAAGTACCTCATGATAAACTTCAGTTTATATGTCAGCAACTAAAATGGTGATAACTTCTTTGTGTATCCACACAAAGTGCTGTGGACAGCTCTTTGCAGTCAGGAAGATAGTGGGAAATCAACAAGAACTGGGAGAGCAAAATAACAAAGCTTCTAGAAGCAATTCACATGAGGTTATGAGAAGAATTGAAAAGGTTTAGCTTAAACATAGCTGGCAGAGATGATAGTTGGAAATACACAAACTCCAAGGAGAGGAAATAATTTGGGAGTTAAAAAAGCAGATCTAAGGATACTGGAGTATAATTGAGAAATAATAATGTAAATGTCTCAGATTTTCAAGCAGATGAGTACATGGGAATGTCAGCTGTTCTGTCTGGGTTTGTTTTTTAATGAAAATATCCATACTGGGCAGACATCTTCAGTAACTGTCACTTCCAAATTTGTATTACTCTGCTATAAACTGTGGGTAGGTCAGTCACATTTGTCGCAAAAGCCAAGGCAAGAACTCACACTGTCATACCAGCAGATACCTGACTTGATAGTCACACCTGCAACTTTCTCTGAGGGTATAATCATCCTGGTACCTCTTTTTTTTCAGGATGTGATCCATGGCTCAGACCATGAGGCAGTACTGCAGCTAACTAATCTGGTGGAAGGAACCTATACTTTTCACTTGAAAGTGACGGATGCAAAAGGAGACTCAGATATTGATTCAGCCACTGTTGAAGTGCGGCCTGGTATGACAATTAAAAGGTCATCGATACGTTGTGAATACCTCATCTTTGTTCTCCTTTTACTTATTTATTTCAATGTTGACAAGATTCTCTCAAGTTAAAACACAAAGCAAACAGGTCTCTCTTTCTACCTTCTTATTGTTGTCTCAGTAGGCCTGAGTGTGTTAGAAGAAGACATGTCAGGATTCTTAACTACCAATTGCACCATTGCCTTACTGGAAGCATAAATAAAAACCATACTTCCTTATTAATATTTTCATTAGGGGTTTTGTTGTTTTTCATTCATCTTAAGTTTTTGTTTCTTTTTTCTGGTTGTGTATCAGTTTGGCCAATGGAAGGAGATGGGAGCTGAGCATTAAGTTTAGATACAAACAGTGCAATTGTATGTTTGATGGTTGAAAGTGTGTTTTTATGCTTGTTTTCTTTCTTTCATCCTGAAGAACAAAACAAACCTCAAAGAATTTCAGGGGGTTTTAAATTGTCTTTTCATGGTTTGATATTGCTTGTATATATACTTGTTTTCAAACATAGGATAAATGGCTATGTGATGGAAGCATAAGTTGAGGTTTCAGGAAATGAGTCTTGGGTCTGTTAGATTTCTTGTTTGTCTGGTTCCTGGGCAATGATTTTATTTCTGTTCCTCACTGTATCGTTGAATGTAGTCACAATAATTGGCTCAGGATTCTCATTGGATATCTGTGAAGCTTGTTTTGTTTGCAAGGCACTCTAGAAGTTCAAGTATTATTTAACAGAACCCTCAGTTTGTGAAGGTAAACATACTTGATATTTCTCAAATTGACCATCCTCATTTAGACTCGCTCACGCAGTCTTGCATGCTACCATATGAGTCCACCTTTGCCTCCATTTTCCTGGGTGGTAGCCAGTAGTAGATAACTTAAGGATTAGAGTCACCTAGTGGTGGTACCTCTGACCTTTAGATGGCAGAATTTAGGGGAACAGAAGTTGCTATTCTGCACAGAAATGTGTTAATGCTGAACTGAAGTACGAACTGAAGTGCTTTCTATCAGCTGATAAGCTGAGTTGCTATCTTAGGATCTACCAGGTTTGTTTCAGAAGGAATGTGAAAATGTAGGCTAAGTACTTTTCGAAGAACACAAAAAGGTTGGGTTATAAGGGATATGGGTCTTGTGCAGGAAAATACAGTATTAATAAATACTTTTGAGTACTGCATGTTGTGTTCAGCTGGTACTGAAATATTTCTCGAGCTGTGGAAGAATAGCATGTTCTTACTCTGTCAGATCCCAAAAGGAGTGGTCTGGTGGAGCTGATCCTGCAGGTTGGAGTGGGACAGCTGAGTGAACAGCAGAAGGACACCTTGGTGAGACAACTGGCTGTATTGCTGAATGTTTTGGATTCAGATATCAAAGTTCAGAAGATACAAGCCTACTCAGATATAAGGTACAAAGATATCCTGCTGTGCCAGGAAGATTTGTGATTTTCATTGACTCTTTCATGGCTCATAATTAGTTGAAAAATGATCTTTTCTAAGATGAGAAAAAAATTCTATAGCTCTCAACAGTATATACTTTCAAAAGGTGAATTTCTTCTGCTGTGGTAGAAAACTGATGAAGTAAGCGCTTAGAACTAAAGTATTTTGGTTGGGGAGAAAAAGCATTTTTTTGCAGAGAAAACTACACAGTGGATAGTCCTAAGTGTGGTATCTTACTCTGAAGTAGAAATACCCCCACTACTTAATGTAGAGGGCTAGAGATGGCTGTGCGTACCCAGAGAAACTTCTCAGCATGTTTGGTAGAACCTGTTGACATAAGTTATCTTTAAATTACTTCTTGTTTACTACTTGGTAATTTAAAACCCATTTGGTGTCTATTTAGCTCTTGGGGAACCTCTTACAATTTAAAAATAAACAGTTTGGAAAACCTAGCATTTATAGCTATGATATTTTTAATCACAGCTTCTAATTACTGCTTTTCAGATAAAGATGTTCCCTGAAGTGTCTGATACAGGATGAGATCAACACCACCCAACTTAAAAAGGGGGAGGTGGGGGAAGGAGGGCTCTCACATGAGGTCCTCTGGCTCCCTTGCTTTTGAGCTTTTTCCTCTTAAATTCAGTTTCCTGAAGTTACTCAAACTGCTTCAGAGTGCTTTGTGACAAGTTCTAGATGAGAGTGAGTAAAGCAGATGTATACATACTTGTCTTAAAGTGAGAGTCAGGAAGACCAAGGAGGGAATTACATTTGCTGTTGTCCTCATCTTTGTTCTGTGAAACTGAGAAGCCAGAGAACTGCTGGTGCTCCCTGCTCAGACTGAAGTCCATGACATTTGGATGGAGTTGACTGATCCATGGGCAGAGGTCCCTAATCTTTATCAGTGGTGACATTTGCTTTCCAGCAACAAACAAAACCAAAGGCTGTAAACTGAATGCCTGACAAAAGTGATCCTTGACAGCAGTCATGACCTTAGCTGTTCTTCCTGCAGCACTGCAGTTGTGTTCTACGTGCAGAATGGGCATACTTCCAAGGTGATCAAGGCATCGGATGTCTCGCGAACTCTGCATGTGCAGCTTTTGAAAGAGAAGGCTGACTTTCTGCTTTTCAAAGTCCTGCGGGTTGACACAGCTGGTATGTTTTGGATCATGCTTGCTCATATTGGAACTTTGCAGGCAGGCATTTATCTAACACAGGACCTGGGAACAGCACATGAAGGCCTTCTGTCTGCCATCTGGTGTCTGGGGTTGGATGTAGCCTTCCAAAAGATGACATTGAAGACAATACTAAAATGCTTGTTCATTTGTGATAGACTGGTGCCAGTTACTTGTGTTCTTTTAAGATGTCATCTGTAACAGCAGGCAAAAGCATCAGGAAGGCCTGGGGAATGAGGATAAAGATACACCACGCATACCATCTTTTCTTGGAAGATGGGCAAAACTTAATAATAGCCATAATATAGAATGTTTCATGCCTCTAGTTCCTTCAAGGCTTTTGGTGTTCAGTAGTAGGCTTGTAATGCAACTTAGTTTTGTCTGCTCAGGCAAAATGGTCGGGTGGTCACTGTGTTACAACCTAGTCTTATAATATTTACAATGTAGACAGACTGGTGGAGTTTCCTACAATGAACTTTTTCTTTTCCCCAAAAAGATACTTGAAATCCTGAGCCTATTTTAAACTTCACTAGTAACGTGAACATTTTGTGACGCTCAGATATTACAGATATGACTTCTCCTGATTTCAAAACAGGACATAATGATCCAAATGCAAACAAAGTGAGCAAGCTCTGGCAATAAAGTAGTCATTGATTCTGTAGTAAATTCTGTCTTTATTTACCTTTTGAAAAAGACTGTTGTTCTATTATAAATGTACTTGGATTACTGAAATGAGTAGGTGTCACTTGAAAATACGCATTAAAACATTTTTCTTGACATAGCAAATCTGCTAGTCTTAAAAAGTTTTAAAGGGAATAACTTTTTATTTTAGTCTGATATGACCTATTGATCTAGCAATAGCTGCTACTATAAGCATATGAGGTATGTAAATATTCTGGCCTCCGATGCTGTTATTAAGTTTTGAAATACTGAAATATACTCTAGTTTATTGTTATGATGCTTGTCTTCTAGTACCTGAGAACACTGATATTCCTCAGTTCTCAGGTACTTTAGAAGTTCTTACAAATATGTCATAAAGAAAGAAGCAGGTCTGGATTCCACAACTTCAACTCATCTTTATTTCTGGTTAGAAGAAACTGTTCTTGACTTGCATACAATTTAAATACTGTATGCTTAAGATAAGTTCTTATCTTTCTCTTCGCAGCCAGCAGTCTGCTGAACTGTAAATCTATTTAGTGCAACACCAAAGGAAAGGGGGATTTTTAAAATGTCAGAATGTTATGAACTAGACGTTTTACCACCAATCTAGACTTACAGTAAGAGGATGTGTGACAAGCTGTCCATTTTACACAACTGATCCTATATCCTGTTTTGTTCTTAGCCTGTCTTTTAAAATGCTCTGGACATGGGCACTGTGACCCCATAACAAAACGCTGCATTTGCTACCAGCTGTGGATGGAAAACTTGATTCATCGTTATCTGAATGATGGAGAGAGTAATTGTGGTGAGTTTGGGTGTTGTGGGACATGTTTCAAGAATAACTCATCATCTTGTGAGACTGTTGATTATTTGCTGTCAGAATGGGGAGTGCTTAAGAGGTAGGTGGTGAGGGAAGACTACAACAGTCTCTTTGTTTTCCAGCACTGCAATATCTTTCTATAGAAAAATATTTGAATAATGTCTTGAAATTATAATGTCTTGACAGTAGTAGCCTATACTTAAAATATTTTAGAAGTTTAAATTTTCAAAAGTATCACTATTTGAGGAAAAAAACCCATGAAAACTTGGGAGGGAGATCTTGCAACAATTTTTGGCCAGTTGGAAGGGTTGTTGAATAGCACGGGCATTGCAAAGCTTTTGAGTACTATTCATCTACTGGTTGCAAAGCTGAAAAATAGGCAACAGCTTAGATTCTCTGAGTGGGTGGTTGATGCTTCTGTGTCAGAGTTTTATGATCTGACCTAAGGAAAGAAAATACCAGTGTTCTGGACTACCCAATATAGTCACCTTTAAAACTTAAGCTTTTTAGCATGATTGATTTTGCTGTTTCTTTCAGTTTGCCTGTTGTACCTGGGAAATGCAATTTAGTTTCACCAGCTTAATCATGTCCATATTCCATGGCACACCTAATATACCAGCTAAGCCTCTCTATTTCAAATATTTAATTGTTTTAAGTAGAAGACCAATTTAGTTAAATTAAGTTGAAATAAAGCTCAACCCTTAGTACTTGTGCAGGCTTGGAAACATTTGCTGAGCAGTGCATTAGTCTTCAAGGAAATCTATAGAAATTTATAAGGAGCTTGCTGCAAGCCATTAAGGTAACCATGGGCTATGAGTCTGTCTGTTAGTGGGTGAAGACTAACTGACCAGCCAAAGCGGGACAGTAGGTTTTAAGCCTGAGGCTGGGACCTCCTGCAGCTCTGCCCTAATGCTGTGTTTTTCCATAGTGTAATAACAACACTGAAATAGTGAGTATACACATGTTGAAGTTCACATTATTGCACATCTGTCTGTATCCTTCTAAAGTTTTCCTGGATTTACAAATGTAAGTGTGCGGGTAGAAGGATCTATCTCTAATCAACCACTTTTTAAAGCACTACTAAAATGCCAGACCCAGAGTACAACCTATGTTTATTTCAGTTAGAGAATGACAACTGAGGTGGTAACCATGCCTTCTTGACTGTCAGTTCCTACATAGACTTCAGGTATCTTGGGGTGGTAAAAGGTATTGGAGTGGAAGAAAAATTTCAAACATGCACTTTCAGTCTGGAAGCCTAAGAATTTTTAGGGATTCTTCTGAGAATATGAAGGTACTAAGCTTTCCTAAGTTCCTGTTGCCATTCCCTATTCCTCAGGATTAGTTATTTTAATAGAGTTGTGTTAGAAGTTATCCTATTCATACTACTTTACAAAGCAGTATTGTGTTTCTTTTTTTCAGAGTGGAGTATACTCTATGTGACTGTATCTATTTTTATTTTGATTGTGGTCATGGTAGGGCTTGCCTGGTTCTGCATCTGCTGCTGCAAAAGGTACAAGATTTGTGTTTCTTTTTGATGGGGTTTATGCAAAAACTGCACGTAACTGCTATGTTTTAGTCCAGTCTTTGGCACTAAACTACTGAACTCTTTCCTGACCTGTGAGGAGCTTCCTGTAGCCATTCCTGTATAGACACACTTCCTTTGAAAAAAAGGAGTATCCATTTGTGGCTCTGTGTTGTTCGGCACTTTGAAAAACAAAAAGCCAATATTGGAGCATCCTTCGTATTAAGACATAATTTATGTTCAAATGCTGTGAGTATACTGCACACCATCACGGTCTCCCACTGAGTTCTCCAGATACTCCATACTAATTAAAAATAGGTACACCCTGAAGGTCACTCACATAGGGGTGCTCTAGGCCATGGGAAGGGAGCTGCTCCCAAGCTGGTGTCTCCCTTTGACAGGAAGGGTGGATATGTGGGCTGCATCTGGCCGACAGGCAAGGAGTGCTCCAGTGATCTCAGTCACACAAATTTCTTGCTTCCTCTTTTCTTGAACAGTTTTGCCTACTACTGTATGTTGCTTCCCTCTCTGCCCCTGCCTCCAGTCTTTCCTAGGGAGCCAGTAAGAAATTCTCTTTCAAGTGACAAGCCCCTGCAAGTTCTGTCACTAGAGCAAGTGTTTTTACTGCTGCTCAAAAAGCCCAGCTAACAGATAGCTTGTTCAGGTGTTAGCAAAAATGAAATGCCGTCAAAACCTTTCTGGATTTTCAACTTTTTCTAGGGTGCCTTTGCAGTATGTAAAGGATGCTGTTTGAAATGCACGGGAGTTGATACCGATTTCCTTTTTATGGTTGAAGGAACAGTGCTGTTGGTAAAAATGTTTAAATAGAAGTGTGCCCCAGTCCACCCCCACAGTGTGGGGTGGAGCCTCACAGGCTTGCATGGATTTGATGAGAAAGGGATTGTTTATGGAGTTCAGCGGCTTCTCTCCTTTGTCCTCATGTGGCTTGTGCGAGAGAGTGAGGGCTGGATGATACAAATCCTTGTAAAAAAGAGGACAGAAATGCTGCACAGGACAGAACAGCAAAAGATGCCCTTTGCCTTGTAGAAACTACAGGAAAAAGATACTGTAGTCCAAGATTTGGCTGGAGTTTTAGAGGTTTTAAAGGCTTTGAGTTGCCAAATTAACTCCATTTTTCAGAAGATTGTAGAGGGGTGGCTGAGTGGTGTAATGTCGGCTGAGATGATTTCTCCACTGTCAACTGTGAAATGTGGGTGGGAATGCTTCTTCAGACCTTGCCTTGACAGGGCATGTCCCACCCACCCCTTCCAAAGTTACGAGAAAAAGGACCGGAAAAATACCTGAGGTGTGACAGCATCTTCTAGGAGGTGCCCCCTTGGTTTCATGTGTGAATACCCTTATTTCTACCCTGAAATTCTTCGTTCGTTCCTTCTCAATCCAATCCAATGAACAGTTGTGTCGGTTGCCCTAGCTCCAGGACTTTTCCTTCTGTGTTAATGAGCAGATGAATAACTCCTGCAAATAGTTGAAACTTAACATAGAGATGATGATGTTCGTAGCAATGTGGAAGTAGGTGCTGGGGAAGGATTTACATCAAGAAAGAACAGGTGGGGCTTTGTCCCTGCATGTATCTGAGGGAGCCAATCTCCATTTTTGTCTGGTCTTCCCTGTAAGCTTAACCACATAAGCACCACTTCAATCCTCTTAATTGGAAAAAAAAAAATTGAGGACTAAATAATTATTACAGAAGTCTTACTTGGAAACAAATGAGTATGTCTACCTTGTATCTAGTTACTATGTTGAAATGGAACAAACTGAACCCCTGTGGCCTAGGAAAGCAACTCAGTCTTCCTTGCTTTCTTCATCTTTGTATATCAGAGAGAAAATAAATTATACCCTCTGGTTCATATTGTACAGCTGCTTTATACAGGTATAAACTGGAATAACTCCTTTTAAGTGGAGATGAGAAAGTATAATGAGGTTCTGTATATTGAGGTACGTAGCTATGTGTATGAAAAGGGAGAGGATTTATGTGTGTATGTGAGAACTAAATGTCTTTGTGGTAACTTTCTTTTTAGCAGAAAGAGGACAAAGATAAGAAAGAAAACAAAATATACCATCCTAGATAACATAGATGAGCAGGAGAGAATGGAGCTACGACCCAAATATGGTAAGTGCTATCTGTTTCAGCTGTGAACTCATCCACCAAGTTTATAGCCAATGGATTTGACTTGACACTTGCAGTCAGGAGGAACCCAGAAGCTGGCCTGCAAGTTTCGGAATGGCAAAGGCAAGTGTAGACAATCAAATGGTTGGGGGAGGTTCACTTAATTTCTTTCACAAGGCCTTGGGCTCAGCCAGTGCTCAGAGCTTCTTCATTAATCTTAATTTAGAACACCTATTTGTCCCAGAGACTTTCTCCATATAAGCCCTCCTCCCCTGCACACACTTTAATTTGGAGCTGTTTTCATTGCTGCACAGTAATTCCCTCCTGCCCTGAGTGCCCTGTTAAACATCAGTAGACATCAGCTGCTACCATCTGTTCACATATATTTTGATTTACCTGAGTTTCAGTTTTAGCAGGGAAAATACTGGAATCCAGGGAAATAAAATCATCCTGAGAAACTGCTGTCCTGGAAAGACAGACATAACATTTCTGTAGAAACCATGACCTTTCATTGCCACTTGTGTTAATCAGATAGTTGAGTGGACAGACTAATTTCCAGATTCAAGCTGTTAAAAGTACCTTCGCTATGTACTAAGATCGTCCAATTGTTTCAAATTTAAACTCATATGTTCACATTTCAGAGCCATAAACTGATGGGCCTGCAGTG